TGGTTTTGGGGTCACATTCAGCAGACTTCATGATTTACTTCTTGCTCTGTATTGAGGGATTACTTCTGGTATGGCTCAGAGAACCACCTGGGGTGCTGGCATTTTAACCCAGAGATAAGCGCACTACCAGGTATTCTATCAACTGGCCCCTTGAGCACTATTTTGGATAAAATGGTTTGCTGGTTAACACTGTTGCATCTGATGTTTGCTTTTGAGGAAGGGTCACTACAAGTGGGAGAGATGTGTAATCAAATGCTGTGTTTGAAACAATTCTCCGGCCTCTATAGAAGGAGAAATATCCTCTCCAAAGTAAACAATGGATTTTCTGACAACTAGTTCTGTCAACTTTATAGTTTTTACATTACGTGCATTTAAGAGAATGAGATGTTTTCAGAGATTATGAGAGAAAAAACTGCTCTTATTATTACTGTATCTTTGTTAATGTTCTTTTATACAGTCATATATGTGCTCTGAATTTTCTAGATATCTTAATTAACCTTGAATCTAAAAATCATAGAGTTTGGCTGTCAGCATAGACAGTGAGTTCTTTAATTGAGCACAAGTTGAATTTTGGGGGAAATGGCAAAAGCTTTTGAGTATTTTGTATTTTAGGATTAGTGACATAGGACCGAATTTGAGCTCCCAGGCAATACTCATCGTGAGTCGAAAATACAATACTGTTAAAGTTATCTATGTATCCAATGGGGAGCACCTCATAAGAAAGACAATCATTTAAAATTGTAATGTAAAAATCTACATATGCTTTGACAATGATTTCTACTAATAGCAGTTCATCCATGTGGTAAAAAACATTTTCTGATTCAGCATTTATGTATAAGTAAACCTTAAAATTCCCATACTAGGAATACTTTTTCTTAGTTTTAATTTCCCTTGAGGCTATTTTTTTATACTTATACTTCTATTTTTTTACTTAACTAATTCCATCAAGATGCTAATATACACTTTCAGAAGCACAAAAAGATTTTCTAATAAAATGTACATGAAACAAGAGCATAGTCCTATTTCTTTAAATGAGCAAGACATTGTTAGAATAAATTGGAATACATCTCATTGTAATAGACAATATTTGCTACTAAAGTGAGAATAGGTGAGATAGTTACTGGGAAACATGCATTGTTTTTAACACCTTAAATATTAAGTTTTAAACTCTGGCAAGCTTTAGTAGAAAATATTCACTCTTCTTTTTTCCCCTTCTATTTGTACTTTAAGTAAGATATAAATAACCATATTTTTAAAATAGTTTATGATACATGTTAAAAAGTCGCTTCATGCTTTCAATCTATTTTCCACTTCTCGTTTAAATTTCTGAGAACATGACCACATTTTAAGAGATAAGAAGAGATTTCAAAGGTCTAGAACACAAACTTTTTATACTTGAGGTCCCGAGTTTGATCCTGGGAACTGCATGGTCACCACCTGCGGTGACCTTGTCACTTTTTGCCTTGGGAGCCATAGTCATTCCCTAGACTGATGGACTGAAGAATGTGTCACAGGCTAGTCATCAGCAACTTCTTTATTGAAACCAAACGGGGCTTACATAGGGAAAGAGAACCTTGCTTCGTCCAGGGCACGGGGACAGGGATGAACAGATATCGGAGTAAAACACAAAGGAGAGGTTTTGGCATAAACAGGGAGGGTTTGGAAGTGCTTCTGTGAAGTTGGTTGTGCCCGGGAGCACTGTAGGGGGGTGGCACTGATGGTTGGGGTGATAAGCAGTTCAGTGAACGTAAACTCTAAGGGAGGGAGAGAAATAAGGGGTGAGAGGAGAAAGGGCAACCCAGGTCAAGCCTGAGATGCTAGGAACTATAGGAGCACAAACAGATTCTGCCAATTTTGTTATGGGGAGATGTTGTCCCTTTTGCCGCTGTCCTTTCTCCTCTCAGGAACGGTGTTTCCAAGCCTTTCCTGTCTCAAAGAGAATCGCTGGAGGTTTACTCAGCAGTCTGGCACCCACCAAGTGGTTTGGGAATAGTGTCATCCTCTGATGGCACCTCACCATCCCCTAATGTAGAAAGTGAAGCCCTGGGCAATTGCTTCTGAGGTTCTTTGTCTCACCAGGCCCAAGTGCTGGTCCATCAAACTGCTGTGCTGAGCATTCCTGGGACCTGCCTCAAGGTCCCTGAATACCAACAATGAAGTCCCCCACCTACAGAGGAATACATTCTAAAACAAAGACATCAATAAATATCCAAGTGAAAATGCACACAAAATTCAAAACAAAATTCTTGGTTGGTACCCTAGCAATCCTATACGGCAGGGCTTGGCAAGCTACCCGTGGCTTATTCAATATTGCAAAAACAATAACAATAATGACTCTCATTCCCCTGACCCTGAAGAGCCTCCAATGCTGGGAAAGACGTAAGGAAAGGTTGCTAAAATCTCAGGGCTGGGACGAATGCAGATGTTACTGGCTCCCACTCAAGTAAATCGATGAACAACGGGATGACAGTGATACAGTGATACCCTAGCAACATTGCTATACTATCAGACAAGATTTTAGCTTAGAATGATATGATCAAAAGTGCAAATGGATGGAAGTCTCTGGATTTGCTATTATCAGTGTGATCATGAGCAGCGTTTATTTAGCTTTGTTCCGTTATTTACTGGACTCTTCAGTTAATCATAAGACTACAGAGTGAAAACTGTGATACTATTTTTTTCATTCCTTTGTCTCTATTAGAGATCTTTGTGACATCCTCACAAGCAGTACAGCTGCACTAACTAATGCCTTGACTCCAGGCTTGTGCTTTACTTCCTCTTAAAATAATTTGGGATGTTTCTCAGCATTATGAAGTGTCATCCAACATTCAAGTAAAGTGTGACAAACATCTGTGGTTGCTCATGTCTTTCAAATAAAACTATTTTTCCTACTCAGGGAAAGCATGTTTCTCTGTAGCACTGGGATATTGCAAAATTACTATTACATTATTTAAAATGGTACATTGCTCTTGCTTTAGTTCATGAGGGAACCGGAAACTTCATAATTAGGCAAATATAACACTGATGTGTTTTCCTCAATTCGCAAGTAAATGGAACTCTGTTAATTTCATAGGGTGCTGAGGGATATTCAGTTACTGGTTGTTCATAAAGACTTTAAAGTTAGGTGAACTAAGATGCACATAATGGTTTCCCTCTGGGCTGATTTGATTTGGATGTGAGATATTGAAACACATTCATCTAATCCTATTTAAAATATATTAGCTAAAGTGAAAGTAAAATGGAATATACATACAGATACATGACATAGATATAGAATATACATCAGGCAGTTAGTATAAAACTTTAAATCTTTAATGGTTATGAAAAAAACGAGTTATGCAGTCCCTCAATGCACCTCTTCTGGGCTTCTTCCTAAAGTCTGATGAACAGCTAACCTAGTAATTCCCCCTGACACCCCGCTCCCTCCCCCACAGCATACTCTTAACCTGATATGACTGAAATGTGAGGCAAAATATAGATAATATATAATCATGTAAAATGTTGAAAACTAAAAATTGGTTATTATAACATTTGTGAAAATTACTGTATTGCACTAAAAATATGCCACTGTTTAAATCTTTGTACAGATTAGGTAGGTTTTCCTAATAATATATTGACTAGCTTTTAAGATTGTGATGTTCCTGGTCCCTAGCCAGAGTATTGAAAAAAATCCCTAAATTATGTCAACCACTGTTCCATGTTGCCAAACTTTAGTCATGATAGTTTTTATTTTTTTAATTTCAAGGTTGTCAGAATCATTAAACAACAGAATGGTTGAATGTTTTTCCACTGGTCACACAACCATCTGTTTAAATTATGACCCATGATCCTTTGGAAAAATTTACAACTTGAACATTTAATATCGTGACAGCTGTTTACCTCTGATGGACACCATCACTTTATCTGTAACTATTTGGAGTTATATAAAAATCTCATAGATATCGGTCATGAGATATCACATTGAAAATGACAAATGACAGCATCATTTCTAAAGTTTTAAATTTTAGTCATCAATGTGTATATGCATAGATACTTGTTTTGAATGCATGATTTATTTTTCATAGTCAAGTTATTTTTACTTAATTTTGAAGGTATGTTTCTTTCAAAATTTCTCTTAAACATGTCATGTCAAGCTATATGGAAGCTTTACTGCAGAAAGCAAGCTCAAACTCTACAAAGATTTCAATTTTGGTCAAATGAATGTTTTATCTTTACTAATATAGACTCCACATATATAAAAAAAACTCACTAAACATAGATAGGAGTCTTTACAATGGATATTTTAAATTTGAATATAAACAAATACCTATGCTATAAATTTTGTTTTGAGGCCACACCCATCAGACTCATATGTCACTTCTGGCTTTGTTCTCATGTATAACTTCTGGCAAGCCTCATGGGGCCATGTAAGGTTCTTGATAAGACTGGACCTGGTTGGTTACATGCAAAGCAAACACTCAACAGATTGTCCAACCCCCTATATTATGTTTTAAGCGTTCCTAGAAAAAGTACTTTGATAAGGTACCTATCCTTTCAAATAGATTTGATAGGTACAACCATGTAAGGGCTGATACCTAATAGTCTCTTGTTGATACATCAGGGATGATTGTTGATACATCGATTTTTTTGCATGTCAAATGATTTTAAACTTATTATTTATGTTTCTTTACATTGTCACCCACATTTTGACGTATGTGAAAACAAGCTGTATCTTCCCATTGACAGAGTATCAATTTAACTGGTTGTTTTCAAAAATCATATTTCTTTGTGAACACTTCTTCCAAGTGGCATATCTTAAATTTTTAAATCGACACTGTCTTAGATTAAGACATAAGAACAATGCAATTCCACTGGCAATACCACTGGAGTATGATGAGAAATAAGAGAGAGCTTTTGAAATTAATTCTGTTTGGTTTGTCTGTTTACTTAGAGTTGGCATCCCATATTCAATTCCTACTGAGTTAGACCTTAATAAGCCACGGACCTGGACTAAAATCAGTTTACAGTCTGTGTTTTGAATCATCTACCTAGATTTAAAAAAAGTCAAGCAAACAATGAGAAGCTAATTATATTTAGCAACCAGCTTGAAGTCACGGTCATGGTCCTCCCGTTGCTCATCGATTTGCTGGAGCGGGCCCAGTAACATCTCCATCGTGAGACTTGTTGTTACTGTGTTTGGCATATTGAATACGCCACGGGCAGCTTGCCAGGCTCTGCTGTGCGGGCGAGATCCTCTCAGTAGCTTGCCGGGCTCTCCGAGACGGGCGGAGGAATCGAACTTGGGTTGGCCATGTTGGCTGCGTGCAAGGCAAACACCCTACCGCTGTGCTATCGCTCCAGCCCCACCAACCAGCTTGAAGAAAGGGCTGGAGCGATAGCACAGCGGTAGGGTGTTCGCCTTACAAGCGGCCAACATGGCCGACCCGAGTTCGATTCCTCCGCCCCTCTCGGAGAGCCCGGCAAGCTACCGAGAGTATTCGATATGCCAGACACAGTAACAACAAAGTCTCCAATGGAGACGTTACTGGGCCCGCTCGAGCAAATCGACGATCAACGGGAGGGCCTTTACCTTTACCTTTACCTTCAAATTTGTTGGTGAAGAATTCTTGGTGTTGTGGAAAAGAGATCTGTCAGAACCAAGGCTCACTGTGGCGCTGGAGTCATCCTTCTCATCTGCTTCGTCCTCTTCATCCGTCACATCAGCGTACTGGGCCAGAAGCGCAGCTTTCCTGTGCTTCTCCTCCTCTGACACCATCCTGGGCTTCACCACGATCTGCGCCTGCTTCTCAATGAGTGTGGCGTTGCCCTGGACCTCATCTTCTTTCTGCACGGTGGCAACGACATTCTGAGTTTCGGACCAGCGTTCCACAATCTCCCTGCAAATGTTCAGGAGAGATCTTCTTACAGGAAAGCGGAGAGGATGCACTGCAGAACGACCATCTCTGAATGCAACAGCTATGTGTACCTAGGTCGAGAAGTCAACATGACAAATGACCTGTCACCCAAGCTGCGCAGGAGGAAGAGAGCGGCTTGGAACGCCTTCAAGAGCCTCGAAGAAATAGCTAAGAGGACGAAGAACCTCTGGCTCTGGGCACATCTCTTTGATTCCACTGTTCTTCCTGCATTAACATATGCCTCAGAGACCTGAGCCCTGTGCAAACAGGATGAGAACGCTATTCAGGTCTCCCAAAGAAGAATTAAAAGAGCTATGCTTGGAATATCACATTTCACTCAAATGAGAGAAAAAATCCGGAGTTCCAACATCCGTCAACGATCAAGAACCAGGGACGCTGTCTCATTTGCCAAGGTGTCAAAAATCAGATGGGCTGGTCACGTAATGAGATTTAAAGACGACCGCTGGACTAGAGCTGTTACTGACTGGATCCCACGGGATGTCAAAAGACCCCGTGGCCGCCCACCTACCAGATGGTCAGACTTCTTCGTGAAGATCATGAATGATCGGTTTGAGGCTCTTCATGCTCCCAGAGCGAACAGATTCCATTGGGCTACACTAGCACGTGACAGGGACAAATGGAGACGTTACTGGCACCCGCTCGAGCAATTCGACGACTAATGGGAAGTTAAGTGATTAAGTGATTAAGAATTCTTGAAAAATGATTTTAGGGCCAGAATGATAATACCGTTGGTAGGCACTTACACATATTCAGTGCTGAACTTTTTCCCAGGGTGATTTCTCATCTTCAGTTATGCTACTTATGGCATATCATAAAATTTTGTCATACTCACACACACCTGACTGCAGTACAGCAGAGATTGTCACTCTTGGACACTTGAGATTCCAGACAGCATAGCAGTGGGGATTTGGCACAAATGAGAAGCATCTGGGATTGAATTTGAATCCCCATACTGGCAATGTAGGGGACTTGGACACAGAACCAACTTCCATACCTTGACAAGAAAGGAGTATTTTCATTAATTTTCTATAGAAAATGAGGTAAAGGAAGAATTTTCTTACACTATTTATATGGTAGAAATATTTGTGTCCTTTAGTTAATTTAGGACAATTTGGCTAATGGAATATTTAGGGTGTGAATATGTAGGATGTGTGTGTGTGTGTGTGTGTGTGTGTGTGTGTGTGTGTGTGTGTAGATGAAAAGAGCTGAACTAATAGAGGCATATAAATGGTGGAGAAGAGCAAGAATGACATTTAAAATAGAAAAAGAGTCACATAATGCTATGCACATAAGTCTTCAACCAATCATTGTAAAATATTTTACTGTTCCCTGAGCTAAATAAGAGAAAAATATTTCTTCCACATTATGCAATCACATATCTCATGGAGAGTAAATGTTGTAATATAAATAGCTCTAAATTTTAAGTCCCGATGAGTTTGTCTTGTTGTTGACACATATTTTCTCTGTGATTAAAATGCTCATGTGCTTGTGTGCCCTTCCATCTGTGAGTGTTTTGTTTACTTATGAGGATCCTTGAGGGTAGAAACTATGTTTATCTAAATTAATTTATTTCATTCTTTGCTGAAGTGATCGTGTATTGCTAATATTAATGAGAATGCTCTAACTCCATTGAATATATTATCAGCTAAAGTACTTCTGACTTGACTTTTACTGACAAGCTTCTTCCATTCTCTCAGGCTATCAAGATAGGCAACTGCCTTTTTTTAATTTATTTTTTATTTTTTTATTTTTTAGAATGAAAGTTTAAATCCCTTTATTAAGCAGTGACACTTTGGTATTTTTCCCTACCTATTCTAAATCTAAATTTTTTTCCCAACTCAATGTGCTTTTCCTTTCCCTAATTACAGAATTGGCATAATGTACTGCAGGTTTTTTAAAATTAAAATCTAGTCATCTTTTAAAAGAAAATAAAATTACTACACACTTATAATTTATTTTGTATTGAGTTACTTAAATTATATAAATCCAATTTTAGATTTAGATATTTTATTTTTATAACTTTCATTTTTATACCCTATGCCTGACTGTCTCCACCAGGGCCCAACAGCTGAAGACCACCGAGGCCCAGCCAAGGCCTTGCTGGGAGCACTCTCCACACACTTGGATGAGCCTCACGCATAAAAGAACTGACAGAGGAACCCAGGTGTGTGGGACCCGGGGCTGAGATCTCCAAGCCTGTACAGTTTGGGACTGGACCTGCCAGTAACTAGACAGTTACACCCACCAACTGCCGTGTAACTCCAACAACGGCCAGGATCCAGAGATTATCACACTCAGCTCCCGGAAGCATTTTATCATCTCATTCCTAATTCGGTCAAACTGGCAGGCTACCAAATGTAACATGCCCACACGGCAGAGTCTGGCAAACTCCCCGTGGTATACCCAATATGCCAAATACCAGTAACAATGATGGGTCTCATTCTCCTAACCCTGAAAAAGCCTTGAATATGGCACTTAAAAAAAAAAAATCTCAGGGCTAGGACGAAGAAGACGTTACTGGCACCTGCTCGAGGCAATCGACGAACAACAGGGTGGTCGTGATCGTCGTGATCGTGAACTTTCATAGAGAAAGCAAAATGTATATCTTTCTGTAGAAGCAAAATAAGCTTGTAAATAACATAGAAACAACGTAATAAGACCAATAAAATTATTTAGATCACATGCTTTTACAAATTTTGAGTTTGAGCAGTAAGACAGCTTGAACTTTTGTATTTACTTTAGAGCTGTGAGGTTCATCTTCACTTAAAGGCATTTAACATTGATGAATCACTAACAACAGAAATACTATGAAGATGCAAATACGTTTATTTGCATAAATATATGCACTTAACAGAAAAAAATAAATGCTTATCTATTTTAGGAGTACAATGTTACCATGCCAGGTCCATCATCAAAATGTCAATTACTTTTTTTTACCATAGTTTACAGAATAGTTATCATTCAGTGCTTCCCACATTGTATTACTATTTGTGTTGTAAAGAGTCTCATCTTTGATTTAATTGGACACTATTTCTTTCCTTCTTTGTTTATTCACTTTAGATGAGTGGTATCAACGTTATTTGCTTTTCTTCTTTTGAATGATTTATATTAAGAAGATAATCTTCAGTTCTATGCATGTTGTAACAAAAATAAATAAATAAATAAATAAATAACCCAAACAAAAAATAAGACTTATGTTTTGCTTATAACCCAGTGGTTTTCCATCTTGTATATATACTGTATTTTACTATCCTCTAATTCATCATTGGGCACTTGGATGTTACAAGATTAGGGCTATGGTAACTAGCATTGCAGTGAACATAGGTATGCATATGGCAGGTGTGCATATATATTGACAAATTTGTGCCTTTTTTCTTTGGAAAAGAGAGCTCAACAGGGGTAGTTTGGAGATCTTGGGAGCTCCTGTCTTCTCGATTAACTAGGGAAAGTCTTGGCCAATCAGCAGTCTTCTTGGCCAACTGGGCTGGAAAAAGTGAGCATGTGAGATTGTGTTGCTCTCTAGGTCCAGTGATGTCAGGAATGTCTTGGATCACCAACTCAGTGTTCAATGGCCACACCCTGGTGGTGATTAGAAACCACTATGACTGCATCAGTCGTGATGCCTTACATACAAACCATGAGGTGTTCGGGATCTAGTGGAGCTCAATGAAGTTCGACCAAACGCTGGGTAGGCCCTTGGATTCTTGTTTTTGTGTTTACAATATTAATACCTAGGATTGATGGATAATATAATAGTTCTACTCTAAATATTTTAACATATCTGCATGATGCAGGAGCTGGAGCAATAGCACAGCGGAACAGCGTTTGCCTTGCACACAGTTGGCCTGGCCAAGCTGGGTTCAATTCCTCCACCCCTCTTGGAGAGCCTGGCAAGCTACCAAGAGTATCTCGCTGACAAGGCAAAGCCTGGCAAGCTACCTGTGGCGTATTCAATATGCCAAACACGGTAACAAGTCTCACGATGGAGACATTACTGGGCCCGCTCGAGCATGATGCATTGTCAATAAAGGCTCAACCAGTTTTACATGCTAAGAATGAATCTAGTTGGTATGACAGATAATTCACTTTGAGTTAGTTTTTATGTATAATGTGAAGAAGTCGCCTGATTTCTTTATTTTTTATGCTGCTAATCATTTTTTAAAACACCATTTGCTGAAAAAGGCCCTTTTTCCTTTTTGTATTCTTAGATTCCTGTGAATTAACTCTCTCCATCTGTGAGGGTTTTTCTTCGGGCTCTAAATTCTATTCCATTGTTCTGAGTACATGGTTACATTCTAATCGCACACTGCTTGACTTCTAGAGTTGTATAGCATTGTTTAAGTTTAAGAAACAGGATGCTTCACAAGTTTTTCTTAAGATTGTTTTGACTGGGGTTTTTGTTTGTTTGTTTGGGTGTCATATCTATTTGTGCTCAGGGGTTATTCCTTGCTCATTTCTCAGAGATCACTTCTGGTGGAGCTCAGGGGACGACAAGAGGTGAAACAGATCAAATCCAGGCTGACTGCTGGCAGGGCAAACGCCTAATCTGCTGTGCTATCTCTTTCATCCCAGTTGTGACTACTTGGGAAATGTTTAGGGTCATTGCAAATGAATGTTAATACGTCTTTGAATAATGCTACTGCAATATTGATAGGAATTGCCCTAGATCTACCTAACGCTTGGGCAGTATGATCTTTTTAATAAGCACAGTTTCTGAGGGTAGGAAGTATATGTTTTTCGAGTACAATGCCTGAATTTTTTATGTAGATCCCTGCCATTGCATAGTCCCCTCAGTCCCAGCAGAACTGTGTTTAAAATTGTTTTCTTATCTATATTTCATTCACAGTTCACTGCTATTTTCACACTCACACACACCACACAAATATATACATACTTGCATAAATATGCACACACACACACACACACACACATATATATCTGTTCACATTACTGTACCACTGTAGCACTGTCCTCCCATTGCTCATTTATTTGCTCGAGTGGACCCAGTAATGTCGTCATTATGAGTCTTGTTGTTACAGTGTTTGGCATATTAAATACGTCACTGGTAGCTTGCCAGGCTTTGCCGTGCGGGTGAGATACTCTTGGTCGCTTGCCGGGCTCTTCGAGAGGGGCCGAGGAATCAACCTTGGATCAGCCGGCTGGCCGCGTGCAAGGCAAATGCCCTACCGCTGTAATATTACCCTTTATTTATTCAGAATTTTATCATTTTGAAGAGTCTTGGTTGTTTTTCAAAAAGGATTTGAACTCTCTAAGAAATGAATGAAATTTTAATACTGAAAAAAATATCTTATTTGTTATTGTCCTCTTTTTCTCTGATTTTCTTTTCTTTAATATGACATATATTCCTATAATTAAAAGGGATCTATAGATCATATAAAACGGCCAAGTAGTAGTTATTCCAGGCATTCAAGGATGGTTCGATATAATAAAATAAATTAATGTAATATACCACAGCAAGTAAAATATATCATTAGAAACAAGGAAATTATTGGCATATTCAACATTGATTTGTGATTAAAATATAGCCAGTAATTGGAGATAGAAGCTACATATCTAACATAATAAAAGCATTTACTGTAGTTAACATCCCACTCAACCAGAAACGAAAGTTGAGAAATGGAAAGTTTTCCTCCAAGATAGGCACGTGACAAGGCTATCAATTCCCTCCTATATAGTTCGGCATAGAATTTTTGCCTAGCAACAGCAACTAGCACTGTTCCTCCCGTTGTTCACCAATTTGCTCCAGTAGGCACCAGTAACATCTCCATTGTGAGACTTCTTGTTACTGTTTTTGACGTATTGAATATGCCACAGGGAGCTTGCCAGGCTATGCCATATCTCCCGGGCGAGATACTCTCTCGGTAGCTTGCAGGGCTCTTTGAGAGGGGCGACGGAATAGAACCCAGGTAGGCCACGTCCAAGGCAAACAC